AACCGCGCCCTCCGCCGCAGCCGGCTCTGCGCGCACTCTGCACCTGAGTTTTTCACTTCAGCACTGCGCCTCCTCTGAGTCTGGGTATGATATTCTCTTTCCTCCTAGTTGTAGAATTTCCACTCAGCCAGCCTTCCTGTGGTTCTGGATGATGTCCGTTCCGTCTTTTAGGTGTATTTTGATTTGGTTGTTCAAGGCAGCAATCTCTGGCGTTAACCTATGCTGCCGTCTTGGTTTTCCCCTTATTGTTTGTTGATTTATTGATGATAGCTATTCTGACAAGTGTGAGGTGATATCTCATTGTAGCTTTAATTTACATTTCTCTGATGATTGTGATGTTGAGCATCTTTTCATATGTCTGTTGGCCTTCTGTATGTCTTACTTTTGCTGGTTAATCCTCACTCAAAGATATTTTTTCTCATTGATTTTTAGAGTAGGAGGGAAGGAGAGAGAAGAGAAACATCAATGTGTGAGAGAAACATCGATTGGTTGCCTCCCGCACGTGCCCCCACTGAAGATGGAAACTGTAACCAAGGTATATGCCCTTGGCCAGGAATTAAACCCGAGAACCTTTGGTGCTTGGGCTGATCCTCCAACCACTTAGCCACACCAGCCAGGGTTCTCTGTATATCCTCTTTGGAGAAGTGTCTGTTCAGATCCTTTGTCCATTTTTTAATTAGATTGTAAAAGAAAATTTTATCTAAGGAAAATAGGGTGACGTAATATATACATACGAGGGAAGAGTGACCATGAATGGAAAGCAAGGTTGATATCTTGAAAATTGTATTCTTACATAAGTATGTTTATTCTCAACTGATTAATAAAACTTTCATCTACTATTGAACAACTTCATGAGAAGTTTTTGAACATGGTGTTTATTAGAGAAAACCAAAACATTTTGTTGAAGAGTTAAATCTCCCCCATCTGTAATCGCAGTTATAATGAGGCCCAACAATGGAAATACAACATCTGACACAAAAACATTCCAGGGCAAGTGTCATATAGCAGGCAAGAACTTTTAGAGATTTATTATTGTAAAGCTTATTTTACTACTAAAATAGTGTTATATAGATAGCACTTGTCTCAGTTTTGTTAATATGAGTTCTATAGATACGTCAGTCAAATCTTACGGTAACTTGAATACAGTACTCAAAACTTAAGCAACCATGGCTGTGTTATTCTTTATGATTTGAAGAAATGACTTTCCTAAGATTATCAGTGAGAATACTTCTAATTCTCTTGCCTTGTGTGTAACCTGCCCCACTGTCCTCAACCATTAGATCAAGCCCCATAATAAGTTTTCATTTAAGTACCTGTTGAGTCGTGTGAAATAAATTCAAAAGACAAAAAAAATTCTTTTGTTGTTAATCCTGAGGATACGTTTCCATTGATTTTTTAGAAAGTGTGGGAGGGAGGGGGAGACAGAGAGAGAGAAACATCTATGTGAAAGAGTTGGTTGCCTCTTGCACACACCCGACCATGGCCAGGGATTGAGCTTACAATTTAGTTTCATGCCCTTGACTGGAATCAAACCTGGGACACTTCAGTCCGTGGGCTAATGCTCTATCCACTGAGACAAAACAGCTAGAGCAACAAAATATTTTTTTACTGAATGTATCTGTTTAAATTATTTTATCTGAATAATGAGTCTCTCTTTGGATATGTATATATAAATAATTTAGACATATTGTGTAACTTGGGGAGATGCTGTAGCACATAGCGTTATTTCATAACTTCAGAGTAGCCTGTAGATTAAGGATAAAATTATATGACTATTCTCATCTGGCGATAATTTTCTAGAGAGAATAGGAGTGATAAATAGAATTAAAAAGAGATTGGCATGTTGTATCCTCAACCAACTTAGTTTTTAGTAATTTATTTTCTTTTTCTTCTCTCTGTCTGCCATGCCAACCCTACTTTTTTCCTGCTAGGTTAGATCAGAATATGTAAAAATAACTTTGTATTATCCAAAGCTAGATTAATTAATTGCTTTAGTAATCCACATTGTTAACAAATACCCCAGAAAGCAATCTATATCCTGTGCTACTCATTGTTTAATTACATTTCTATCTAATAAGGAACTAGAAAGCAAAAAGAATAAATTATTGCCCATTTGTATGCTTAATTTATTTTTGCCTATTCTATATAATAAAAGCATAATATGCAAATCGACTGAACAGCAGAACGACTGGTCACTCTGATGCACACTGACCACCAGGGGGAAGACACTCAATGCAGGAGCTGCCCCCTGGTGGTCAGTGTGCTCCCAGAAGCTGGGCTCACGGCTGGCAAATGCTGCAGTGGTGGCAGGTGCCTCTCCCGCCTCCACTGTAGGCGGCAAGGAGTGAGGGGTCCCGGAGTGCGAGAGCCCTGGATTGCAAGTGGACTGCCGGATCGGGCCTAAGTTGGCAGGTGGACATCCCCCAAGGGGTCCCAGACTGCGAGAGGGTGCAGGCCTCGCTGATGATAATCCTGTTGGGAATTTGTTTTAAGACATTCATATTTTTAAAAACTGAGATCACCAACAAGATCATTCATTCATTCAGAAACATTTATTAGTACTTTATGTGTGCCAGCTACTATTGTTGAGTCTCTGTTCTCATAGAGTTTAAATTCTAGAGGGGAAGACAAAATATATTCTGCCATACAGGTCAGTAGTATTGAGAAAGGTAAAAGGGGAAGGGGAGTAAAAAGGGCTCAGCTGTTTTAGATAGGTTGGTCAGGGACAGCCTCTGTAAGGAACAGTGACATGAGAGGCTGAATGATGCCTTTTGTCCAGTCCAGCAGGTATTAATTGAGAATCTGGTATGTACCAAACATTGTCTAGAATTTGGGGAATTCAGATAAATAAGATAGTCCCTATTTTCAAAGAGCTTATATCTAATAGGTGAGACAGACATATTTTATCAGTTACAGCACAAGATAGCAAAGTAATAGTAGAAATCTTCACAGGATTCTATAAGAGTTTAGAATGATCAACTCTCTGAGAGTGTCAGGCTTTGCAGAGGTAATTCTTGAGCCGAATGGACTATCTGGGCATGTGGGGGCGAGGGGGGGGGAGTGCAGGGCATCCTGGCCAAGACAGGACCACGTAGTCAAGTTCCTATAGATGCTGCAGCTGTTTAACGATTACAGAAGGATATGATGAAGCTGGAGATGTTGGCAGAGTCAAGTGAGTCCTTAGCCTAGTAAGTCACTGTTTTCTACTTACAATCCCCCACTTTATGATTTGACCTTCAGCTCTGTAGTGCAAAACACAACTTAAAATATGCCAATGACAAGTAATTACGCTCTGTGTCATGCTCAGTGTAAATATATCCACGTAGCAATCATTGGACCTGCATGTTCCTTGTGAGAGGCTTCTGGTTTACTCAGATAATATAAAATATGTGTCATTTTTCTCTTCCAGGCAAATCAATATTGTGTAGCAAAGAAGTCCCAGCACAAGACTTGAGAAAACTCTGTGAGAAGCTCAGAGGCTCAGAGGCTAGCACTCCCAAATTAACAAGTGATATACAAGGGCCTGCTTCTCATGATCCAGCTTTTTCAGAGAAGACTGACCATAAAGCTGCTCGCCTCATACAAACACCTCAAGCACAGCACTCGGGGAACTTGTGTAAAGGGAACAGAAGTGGCTGTTGGGGGTGTTTGGATGTGCACACTACCGATCTAGAAGGCTGGGACGCGGTACCTGATGAAGCTTATGACCTGCTTGATAGACTTCTGGATCTAAACCCAGCTTCAAGGATAACAGCAGAAGAAGCTTTGCTGCATCCTTTTTTTAAAGATCTGAGTTTATGATTACTTAGTTCTTCACTTACTATTTGCTGTTATGGATTGTGAAGTGGGGTAGAAGAGTTCTTTGTAGAGCTGTAAGTTCTTGATTAGAGACCAGGGCAGGATGAATAATTTATTTAAAAATTTTAGTATTTCCTCTCTAGAAAGATTCTAAAATAAGGATTAAGATTCTTAAAGGTGCCTGGGGTACTTTTTTGGACAAACAGCATGATCTTTTGAGTTGGATCTCCCCCAGGAGAATCAGTTTTTTTAGTTTCTGTAATTGTCACTGACATATGCTGAAGGAGCATAGTACTTGGCAGTTCAAGGTGCAAGTCTGAAAATTGATGGGTGTGTTAGGGATTAAATGGGCTTCTTCATACTATGAGCTTTGTGTACTTTTGGAAAACTTAACCTGGTACTGGTACTCTCTCCATTCTGTAGGTTAAGACAATTTCCTCCTCGAGGCATATATTATGTCTTTTATGAACACTAAAAGAAGTAATGAGAAAATGTTTAAGGGATATATCACTTAAAATTGAATTTATCTGTTAAAAAAGTATTCTGTGGAAGCATTTATTGTATGAATTGCCTTTTTTAAAAAAAGTGTTCTCCCTTGATTTGTTTGCCTTTTTGCCTTCTCTATGCCCACCTTACACATTCTTCTTGAAAATTATATGGTGACTTCCACAAAGTTTCTGGGTGCATTGTTAAATATTGTGTATGTTTACAGTTAGATACTTAAATAATGCATATACTGGTTGGTAAATGGAAGCTACAGGACCAAGATAATCTTTTATCTTGCTTTTCTTTTTTTTAAATATTGTAGAAAGTATTATATATGTCCTCCTTTTTCCCCCATCTCTAGAAAGATTCTAAAATAAGGATTAAGATTCTTAAAGGTGCCTGGGGTACTTTTTTGGACAAACAGCATGATCTTTTGAGTTGGATCTCCCCCAGGAGAATCAGTTTTTTTAGTTTCTGTAATTGTCACTGACATATGCTGAAGGAGCATAGTACTTGGCAGTTCAAGGTGCAAGTCTGAAAATTGATGGGTGTGTTAGGGATTAAATGGGCTTCTTCATACTATGAGCTTTGTGTACTTTTGGAAAACTTAACCTGGTACTGGTACTCTCTCCATTCTGTAGGTTAAGACAATTTCCTCCTCGAGGCATATATTATGTCTTTTATGAACACTAAAAGAAACGAGAAAATGTTTAAGGGAGATATCACTTAAAATTGAATTTATCTGTTAAAAAAGTATTCTGTGGAAGCATTTATTGTATGAATTGCCTTTTAAAAAAAAAGTTTTCTCCCTTGATTTTTTTGCCTTCTCTATGCCCACCTTACACATTCTTCTTGAAAATTATATGGTGACTTCCACAAAGTTTCTGGGTGCATTGTTAAATATTGTGTATGTTTACAGTTAGATACTTAAATAATGCATATACTGGTTGGTAAATGGAAGCTACAGGACCAAGATAATCTTTTATCTTGCTTTTCTTTTTTTTAAATATTGTAGAAAGTATTATATATGTCCTCCTTTTTCCCCCATCTACCCCTTCTAAGCCCACACCCACCACCCGCCTCAGGCAAAAGTATTTTCTTTTTCTCTCAATGTGTACACCCTTTTTTACCATCTTAGGCAGGGGTCCTCAAACTACGGCTGGTGGGCCACATGCAGCCCCTGAAAATATTTATCCGGCCCGCTGCCTATTGCTTAGCAGCCGACTCGTCCCAGGCCCGGGCCTGCAGTGCGCATGTGTGGAATGTGCGCCGCACTCTCCGCTCCCCTCCTTCTCTCTGTCTCTCGACTCCTCTCAGTCTCAGGTGTGATCGGACAAGTCACGAGCTTGCCTGTGCAGAGCCTGCTGCTGCCTAAGGACCGAGGTAAAAACAAGGATTTTTTTTTTTTTGAAGTTAGGAGGTCTATTTTTTTTATTTTGCAGTTAGTAGGGCCTGTTTTTTTTTAAGTTAGGAGAGCCTTTTTTTTTTTTTTGAAGTTTTGTTTTTTTACTTCAAAATAAGATATGTGCAGTGTGCATAGGAATTTGTTCATAGTTTTTTTTTAAACTATAGTCCGGCCCTCCAACAGTCTGAGGGACGGTGAACTGGCCCCTGTTTAAAAAGTTTGGGGACCCCTGATCTTAGGTATAATTAGATAGGTGCTAAAAGGAAGGGTGAACACAGAGACTATTACAGAGATTTTTCATCTGCCTAGATCCGTCCCAATCTCTATATCCTGTTTTAACTAAATTGGTCCTGCTCAGAGAAGGTTGATTACTGATTCTTGACGGATGGGAAGAGAGAGAATGAAGCAGGCAAAGCAAAAAAGGACCTAAGAGAGAGGTTTATGTATTATTACATTCTAAACTGATATCTATCAATGACAGTATATCAAACTTTCTACGGGAAATAAGTCAGGATGCAGTGTTGTTAAGAAGTTTCCCATCATTAGAAGTCATAGAATATAGAACCAGCTTAGGGACATATGACATTCATTTTATTTTGAACATTGAAGTTAGTATATCTACCTACTTTATTTGGTAAGTATAGTGTGTATATAAACCATTATCATTGATTCGCTCTGTCTTGTGCTGTAATCTTAAAACTTTTTTTTTTGGTATGTTTAATAAAGTTATCCTTTTATAAATTGTATGTCAATCTACTCATTTGAAAAATGCCTAAAAAAAAAACAAAAAAACTGTTGACCACTGAGTATTTTCTGTCTGAGATCTATGAATGCTCTCCAGCCAATAGTAGATAGTAGATTTTAAAAAAAGCCCCTGGCTCAAGTAATACTATATGAAAGATAGAAGGAGGGTTTATTTCTTTAATAGAAAAGTGCTCATTGACTTCATTTTTAGGATACTAGAGGCCCAGTGCATGAACTCGTGCACGGGTGGGCCTCTAAGTCTAGCTGTCGATTAGGGCCAATTGGGGCCCGGCCAATCAGGCCTGCCAGCAGAGGGGAGGGATGGGGCGTGGGAGATTGGCTGCCAGCCCCAAGGAGGGAGTGGGTCCTTGGCCCCCCTGGGAAAGGGGCTGCATCCACCACCTACCCCCGGTTCCCCATCCCAGCCCGGGGCCCTAGAGGCCCCAGGGAGTTGGAAGAGGAGGCAGTGGTTGCTGGGCTGGGAGCAGAAGGAACATGCCAACACCAGCGCCCCGCCACTGCACAGTTTCCCGCCTCCCCCCCTCCTTCCCTTGCTGCCACCGTGGTGGTGGGTGACGGGCCAATCATCAGGGCCTGCCAGCTGTGGGGAGAGATAGGGTGCAGGAGGTTGGCTGCCGACCCCAAGGTGGAAGCCAGCCCTCAGGCCCTCTGGGAAAGGGGCAACGTTTGCCATCACCCACCCCAGGTTCCCCATTCCAGCCCAGAGCCTAAAAGCCCCAGGCTGATTGGGAGAAGAGGCAATGGTCGCCAGGCCAGGCGTGGAAGGAACTGCCCCTGGCCACCGCCGCTGGCCGGCCACGGGAGGTTGGCTGTGGGAGCTCACTGACCTGACCACCAGGGTGCAGCTCTTGCATTGAGCGTCTGCCCCCTGGTGTCAGTGCGCATCATAGTGACTGGTCGACTGGTCGTTCCAGCCGTTTGGTCATAATGGTTGCTTAGGCTTATATATATAGAGATTTGTCACAAGTTGTAAAGCATCTCAATAACTAAAATGAAGTCTTAGCTAAAAAAGTTTCTTAACGTGATTAAAGTTATCATATCCTTAGAAAATTAACAAGAAGAAAAATTTAACTCCCAGAAGGACAGGGATGGAGACATTCTTTAAGAAAGTTTAATATTCAGGGTTGTTTCAACTTTTTTTAATTTCACTTTTATTTATTTTTTTTAAAATATATTTTATTGAGTTTTTACAGAGAGGAAAGGAGAGAGATAGCCAGAAACATCGATGAGAGAGAAACATCGATTCAGCTGCCTCCTGCACACTCCCCACCGGGGATGTGCCCGCAACCAAGGTACATGCCCCTGACCGGAATCGAACCTGGGACCCTTCAGTCCGCAGGCCGACGCTCTATCCACTGAGCCAAACCGGCTTCGGCTAATTTCACTTTTAGAATAGAACTTGGTTCATGTGCAAGGGGAGGTAAAGGGATCTAGTGCTTTAAAAGATATCCAGTATTGTAAATTGGTTCTTGAGGAATTTCAGTCTCACTAGACAATGTTGCTTCAATTTGAGGTGCTATATAGATAAAAATTAGGAGCTTCCATATGCATATTATTCAGGTTTTTTCAGCCTCTTGAATACCATTTTATAATAATGACAGATTGCTCTAAAATATTTTGATTAGGTAAAATAACCA